AAATGAGGACTAATAATAAAAAAAGTAAACTTTTAGATAGAAAATTGCGATTAATGCCAGGCCTTACATTAACTGTAGTGTTTGTCACAGCTGAATCAGCATCCGTTTCGTCCAGTTCCATTTGTTCAGTCTGAGCCTATATTGAAAGTAATAAATTAAACATGGATAAGTCCAATCCAAATCTTTTTGGAGTGGAATTAATCACAATTAACAGCGTAATATTGCCAAAACAAGAAATGTTGTTACCGATTCACTTGTTGAATAAGAATTTGATGTTGAGGGACCTGCATCCATATCTAATGCATTTGGTGGGTCAATCTTAAAGACCTGCTGATAAAAGGATGTATTAACTTTGACTCTTAAGTATTAATATGAATCAACGTGATATAATACTAACCACATTGGTATTTTCCTTAACAATATAAGTTATCAACTTCCGTTGACCCATTTCATTAACTCCAATTTCCTTTAAATCTTGCTCCGAAAAAAAAGGAAGAGTTGTACCAGTAGCTTTTTCCTCTAAAAAAAAAGGAAAAGCAGTACACACTTACCTTGAAATATAGCAAATCAAGAATCAGTTACTCTTATTCATGATTTATCACAACGTCACATCTATTACTCGAAACAAACTAAGGTAAATATTAAATATCAAAAGTGAATGCATGCAAAAGTGAAATTTATTTTTAAGCTCTTAATATTTAAAGTGAGTTTAAACACCAAACACAAACTCTATATACCGTGAGCAGTTTTAATTAATAAGCTCACAATGAATGACCAACACTTATTCTATCTGCTGAAATATTTACAAAACAAACAAGAAAACACAAGTAGTGTGATATTGTATTAGTAGGGAAATCATAAGACACCGAAGATAAATGCACTCATTAACTTAACAATTTAAAATATGGCATATCATTTAAATAAAAACAAAGCAATTCAATCTGCAACACTTGACAAAAAAACATTAGCTGACTTTTTTAAATTTAAACTCTAATAATATCGGATCTGTATAACATTTTACAGAATAGAAGCCTGAATGAAATTTTTTGATTGACATTCCATAGGTAATCTTACTGTTAAACCTAGAATAACAAAAGCTCTAATGCGCAAACTAATAACAAGTGTTTTGAGAAAGACTAGTTCTTCCCTTTTTATATTTTAATTTAATTCTTAATTTTTAATCCAATAAAACATAAACCGGGAAAGTAATCGGCACATTTACAAAAAAATACTGCAATAAAAGTTAAATCTACCAATCTGCACCTTAACTTAATTAATTTAAAGGCTTCATTTAATTTAAAATATTACATTTTGTACAGATTTTTAGCAGTTATATAAAAAAAAATTAAATAAAAATTTAATCTCCTATATTAAACTTTTTCTAAAAACTATTTCTATACACTAAATCAGGATATGACACAAAGTTATAAAATTTCCAGTGCTACAATAATCTCGCCATAAAGCAAAAGGCTTCGTGTCCTTTAAGTCATCAGCCGATATTAAAATAATATTTGAGCCTGAGGCCACACTGAAAGAATTTAAAGAACGTTCATAACCCAGAGTCTTCCATTTACAACACAGAAAATAAACCCTATCGGATTCATAAATATATATTTTCATTATTTTAGCAAACACAGGATTTCCTGATTCAGTTTCTCGTCCACTCTTGACAGCAACATGCCACCCACTTCGGTATTGAACACCATATATTTCTACTTTTAATGTTTCAAATACGTTTACATTGTCTGCTATTCCAACTACTTTCAAATACTCACAACAATTACTGACAATTTTTAACCAGAACTGTCTGTCCCTTTGAACAGATTATTTTCTTTCTTGGGGCATCGTCAGAATCCCAAATGACACATTGTGAAATTTGACTCAGCCGGATCATGCTAAAAGGTAAATTTTTGAAATTGCAGCATTGACTTCCATATTTTTTGAATATGCTATGCTTTGCTTCATAGCGCAGACATATTATGGATCTAAGTGACCCAGACTTTATCAAACACTCCCCGTAATGCATCAAATGATGGAACTTGTTTATAAGTGCAACATTAGGAAATAGTTCCTTAAAACTTGAGACAAATTCTAATACCAAGTCCTGTAAGTAAGAAGCTTGAGATGATGATGCGATAGGACTAAAGACTATTTCACTAATTCTATTCAAGAGAAGAACAAGATGCAAGTATTCGTCTCCTTTAGGTACTTTATCAGAAATCAAGAAAGGAAATATTCTCAAAAGACACCATGTTTGCACAGCTTTCTGCTGAATCGGGTTACCATTGTAAAAATTATTGAGAGTAAAATTAGGTGACGGCTTATTTTTCTTTTCTGGCATACCATACTGAAACATCTGTATTCGGTTGTTTAGCTCAGTCAAAGTCAAGTTATATCTATTCTCTCTCTTAATAAAATGTTTGATTACGTACTCAAGAATTACAGGTGCAATACCTTGCCAAATGTCATGCATTGAATTAAAAACGAAATTCTCTGCGCAGTGCCAGAAACGACTTCTATGTAATGAACTATTTTCTTTCAAACCCGTTTCAGTATCGGTCAATAGCTTTGATTTGACTTTACGTACTTGTTTATCATACAATTCTCTCGTTCTTGAATTTTTAATTTCTACTTTTCCCCTAAGGAGATGAGATCTATGTATCATGCATAAACGACAGAAGTGATTAGCAGAAGGACCCAAGAATCCGAACATCTGATGTGCAGCCAAACCATCAGCAACCACACAAGCTATTGTGGCCCTCAATACAAATGGTTCTCCATCAAAACTTACCATAACTCCTTCTTCACTTTCCAACTTATTCAAATCATCAAGAAATGGACTAAAAATTTCCTTAAAACCATATTTAGTAACATCAGCTGTGTAACAAAATCCCAAAACTTGAACTTCTCCCATAAATGATTGCAAATGAGGAGGCAAATTTTGAATAATAAAGTAAAATGCTCCTAATTTATGAGCTGATGTTTTACTTCCTAGAGGATTGTTGACAACTATATCATCATAGTATAATTGAATTCTTAATGCTAGTGGATATCTCTGAAAAAATGGATTTTTTTTAAAGCTCTCCCCATCTCTAAAACCCCTCATAAATCCATCTGAAGAAGAAGATTCTTCTTCAATATATTTTCTAACACTTGAATGAGAAAGTATTAATTTAAGACTCTCAATTATTGGAACATATTGAAAACTTTCAATAACTAACTTTGGTTCGTATTCACCAGATTGTCTATTCAGCACTGATTCACAACGATCTCCAAGCGGAATCTCAACAGAGTCTACCAATCTATAATACATTTTTAAAGCTTTCAGTTGCTCTTCAATGGATGAAAATTTATTAAAAGGAGCAGAAATCTCAAACTTAGAGAGTAAATTCTGAATATCAGCCTGATTCAATGATATATCCTTACTTGAAAAATAATTCCTAACTTCTTGCTGAAAAAAGTTTGCAATGTTACAAACAAAAACCTCTGCTGCCATACAAGCTTGAGTCAAACTAGCCTCTGTGAGAAATGCTTTGGATCTAAGGTGAGCAACCATTTGTGCAGCCTCTCCTGATACACTAAACACTTTTTGAAATTTATCTTTAGAATTGTTACTCTCAGGCACACTACAATAACTATCTTGCTCAGGATTTTCATTAGAGTTTACCTCCATATGATTTTGAAATAAAAATGACTCGTTATTTCTATTCTTTACAATTGGATGTTTAACACGAAGATGTCTAATCAAACTATTGAAATTTTTAAAAACACATTGACATTCATTTTGTCGACATTGATATCCAAAACTATAGGGAGCTGACACTGACAAACTATGTGAATATCTTAAATGCGCTGTGAAATGTTTTAATCCATTCGGAATAAATTTATGACACATTGAACAAGTGTAGCCTTCCATTGGTGACACAGTTTGATTGTAAACTAACAATGATAGTAAAATAACAAAAAACACTTCGTTTACAGGCCTGAAATTAACCAACCATAGATATTAAGATATTTAAATAAATTTACAACTCAAGATCTGAAGTAATATTTAAATATTTATATATTTATATAAAATAATATTTAGTTTAGGAGTCTAGAATTAATCAACCACTAAACATATTCAAATAACTTAAAAAAACCTTAAAAAAAACAACAATATTATTACGCTACATTACTTTTCTGTCTTACCAAATTGATACATACTCAATAAAACGTTGATTGTGTTCTCATTAACTCCTTTATTTTTAAGATATATGGCCAAAACTTCAGGGTCTATCATTGAATTCTGAAACATTTGGAATTAATTTATTGGAAGTTAAAAACAAACCAGTCATGGGCACTTTTTATTTGATTAACAAATAAAAAATATTTGAAGAGAAAATATTATTTAAATAATTTTTTATATTGTGACGTGACGCTTTTTAAGCTCCGTCACGGTTTCCCTGCCGAGGAAAACAGCGTGCGCGGGGTCGTCTCTCGCGCCTGAGAGGAGACTACCGTTAGTTGTTATTCCATTGTTTAGCCCTATTTTTTAGCGAACTTTAAGACCCGCGATTCGAATACGGCTACCTTGCGTGCGTGCAAGATCGACAAGTTGTAAAGCAAGCTACCGCTAGACATCGAGGATACCGAAGATACCGAGGATACCGAGGATACCGAGGATACCGCAGTAATAAGGTCAAGTAGTAAGATCCCGCGCCACCGCGCTTTATAATGTAATAGGAGATTGAATCTGCATTATTTCAGATTGTAAAAGAAACGGCAACCAATTCCGACGACGGTGATGAAGGCAACTATCCAGGCAGCTGACTGGGAAAAACGGAAACCTCGGAAGGAGACGCGGAGACGGCCTGGCCAGCCGGCCGCGTCCCCGAGGATCGGCATCACGAATTACCGTCGTTCACAAGTACTGGACCCCTGTGCAAGGGCAACGCCGTACAACAGCAGCAACGTTCGAGGGGGCGGAGAATCAACCCCGTTTCCCCGAAATCGACAAGATGCGCGGAGGATCGGCGCGGGATTCGAGGGCCTTACGAGCACAGACGAAGATCGTCACTGTGTGGTGAGCTAGTGACGAGTGCACAGCAACCAATTATTCGGAAGAGACGACCCCGAGGGAGCCGCCGCCAACACGAATTGTAAGCCGTCGCACAGGTAGCCGACTAGACAAATTACTCCGGGATCAGCTGGTGTCATCGTATCGAGATACCGTCACCGGGCGGCTATCGTACCGTAGAGAAAAATTACCGAGAAGTTGAAAACTTGTACCGTAATTATCGGACGCCAGCTGTCACCGGGGTCGCGGAATTGTCCCTCTCAGGGGTGTTCGTACCGACAGTCCGTGGTCTTATGTATCGTTTCCGTACCGTTTAGAATTGTATTGTTTCTGCTAACATTTTTCTTGTATCGATACTCCGAGCGTGACGCGGCGATTTTGATCGAGTATATCGCATACCGGAAGGCGGGATTTGAGCGAGTAATTTCTTCGCGAGCGTGTGTTACCGGAATTAAGAGAACGGCTCTGCAAGAATATTGTTCTACGCGAAATCTCCGCCGAAAAGTATTTAACGTACCGCTTGTTCGAAATTTCCGTTACGCGGACGTCGTGCTATTGTTAACGAAACGAAAGGTCGTGCTGCGACCGTTACATCGGGTAAACAATTTCCGTCTATCTCCTTGAAACTACCGTTAGAGAAAGCTTCTGTTTTTTTCATCAAAACTTTGTCGAAAGTCATCGTTAATTGCCGTAAGAAAAGGTTCGATTCGAGTTATATCGAACTTATATAAAATACGTATACCGTTTATTTAGGATTAGAATTCTGTTCATTTCTTAGTTGTCTATTGTTCTTTACCGTTAATTATTGTTGATCGTAAAAGTTACCGTCAAAATTGTATGAAAATTCAGGTTCGATTTATATCGATATTTAGCACGAGGCTCGCGCTTCCAGGAGTGTTCGTAAACCATCCGCGGATAATCGTCTGATCGTAAAACTCCTGTACCCTCTGGTTACCGATAATTACGTTGATTACCGCCCTAAAACTAATTGATAATTATACCGAAATTTGTTAGCGAGACGAACGTCTCGACGTGCGAGCTGAAATTGGACGTAATTCGCCCTCAAGTTTTGTTAGATATTTCGCCGCTAATGTTCACGGTTTTCGGTTACCGTAATTATTGAGAGGCTAAAACTATTTCAATACCGTTTTTCCTTTTTGTTTATTGCCGACTCAGAATCGATATTTCAAGCAAACTTTCAGAAATCGTTGTATCTGACCTTCGCATCAGCCATTATAACGTGGCTTTTGTTTCCGAAATTTATAATAACCGTTATCTTTCGAAGTTTAGCTGATTTCTGTCATTAGTTTATCTGTGGTGTGCTTTCTTGTACATTTACCGATATATTTACCGATTTTATCCCGATTATATTAAATTCATTTATCTTATATTAAATTCGATTATACTGTTAATTGTGTGTGTACTTTAACTTTACAATATATGTAATTATTTGTGAACCAAATAACTGAGTATTAATCATTTCTCTCTCCTAACGATAATCTAGCGCTCTCTCCCCCTTACGGTAAATAATTCGCAAAGAACTCTGCCCCTCTGCCATAAACTGAGCTTGCCGTTACCGTTTCGATATCGTGGCGCGGAAATACCGCGCCTGGCGCCCATAACCTATCTCCTTTTTTGTTGAAGATTCTGTTACCATACGTTACCGCCATTTTAAGATACCGTTACCGCCATTTTAAGATCCCGATACCGCTAATTACTGACACCGCCAAATTTGCACGCTACCTCCTCGGGAGCGGCGTTCCTGAGGCGGGCGACGGCGTCGCAATATATATATGTATATATATATGTATATATATATACATATATAGCATTATACACCTCAAATATATATATATATATGTATATATATATATATATATATAATGCTTATTTTTTATATGCAGTAAATTTCATGTTACATTTTTGTGTTTCATAGCTTGAGCAGATCAACATTCTGTTTTTTGTTGGAACTGTTAACTCCGCAATTGTCAAAGTCTGGGAGTCTTGGTCGAAAGACTATTAATCCAAAAAAAATATTATTACTGGCTATATGGATGATGGCAACTCCAAATTCATACAGGTACATGTTTTACAAATGTATTAATGTAATCGCTTATTTTCACTGAACTAAAATGCTGTAGCAAAACATCAGTCTTCTGAAATTTATCTTACATTCCAATCCTAATTAAATAGTGCCTAGCGTATTAACTTTAGTATACTTAGTTATATCTTAATTTACTTATAAATCATTCATTTAAAAGTTGAAATGAGAAAATATTATTAATACTTTAGGAACAGTTTGAGATCTAAAACTTGAACTGTATGTCCATCATATATTAATATACAAAGATTTGACATTTAATCATTTATGTACTCTACTAGGTGTGTTGCAGATCATTTTGACGTTGGTAAGGCAACCGCTTGGAGATGTGTTCATAAGGTTGTAAAAGCATTGTATTTACATCTCAACACATTTATCACATGGCCCAGTAGAGAAAGAGCTGAACAAATCTGGACACATGTTAAAAATAAATATAAATTTCCGAAAGTTATAGGAGCGATAGATGGTACACATATAAAAATTACTGCACCGAAAAAGCATCCAGAAGCCTACATAAATCGAAAGGGCTACCATTCAATGCAATTACAGGTTTTTTAAATATTAAATCCATTATTTTAGAATTACAAAATTTTATAATTTAGTTTATTATTACGACGTTTCGACCATATGGTTGTGGTCCTTATCAAGTACATACTGCAAAGATTATAAATTGATAAATTAATTGACAGTTTCAATATATAACACGCTCAACGAATTAAAATGTAACAATGTTAGTATACCGAAGCCATAAATCAAGAGACCGGCATAGACGATGATCTTATAAATTGCACAAATCACATTAAAAAAAACGTTATTTATTAAGATTTAAATTAGAGAAAAATTGATGTGTCCGTGAGAGACATCGTCAAGAGACTAAAAACAAACGCTATGAGACGGGACTATGTGATCTTTATTATTTTATCGTAAATATTGTTACGTCCCCGTGTTCCTTCCCTGCGGGTTAATAATTGGTCACCCGTGATGTTCGGAGGAAGATCGTTTTCTGTCTCGTCGTCAAGAAGAATGTTTATAAACGGCGACCGTCAGCTGAGTTCCGAGCCAGCTGTCTAGCTGAGCGGACGCGCTTTCTGTATCGCGCCGCGACTTTTTGTAATTGTACGAATACGTTGTTCTGTGTTGTGTTGTGCTCAGTAAAGTTCCTTGTTCGCTATTAAAAGAGTGTTCGTTTATTTCGCGCGACTCGCGAGCGGCCGTTCTCTCCGCGCGCGTCTTCGATAATAGTCGAAGTCCTCGCCGCGGGCGTAACATTTTGGGGGCTCGTCCGGGATAAAACGAGCAACGGGCTGATACAACGAGCTACGAAGGGACGAGGAAGATGATGACGCAACATTCGCCGAGAGTAACCCGCTCGCAGACTCCACGTCATCCCTCGAATTCGGAGGCTCCGTCGGAGGAGAATGTCCTGCAAACTGCGCTCCGAGAGATCAGGGAGCTGCGTGACCAACGGGAGCAGGAACGCACACAATTTGAAGCCCTGCTGCGACAGCGCGACGAGGAACTCCGACGGCTAGAGCAGAGAATCGCTTTGCGGGAGGAAATCGAGCTAAGTCCTCCTAATAATATTGCGGGAACGGGTTTAAAATTAAAACCCGACACATTTGACGGGAAAGTTCCGCTGCGGGAGTTCCTCTCCCAGTTTCTTCTGATCGCGCGCGCGAATAATTGGGACGAATCCGCGAAGACTGTCGCTTTAGCCGCGAGTTTGCGAGGAAAAGCGCGGATCGTTCTGGAAAATATTGAGAATTTCGATAGGCTCACTTTCGCGGAATTAACATCGAAATTAGAATTGCTCTTCGGGGAAGGAAGCCTAACTCAAAATTATTATTCGATATTTACAAATCGAAAACAAAGATACGGGGAAGATCTCGCTTCCTTTGGCGCGGAGCTAGAAAGGCTGTCGCGGCTTGCATATCCCGAATGTTCCTACGCGGTTAGGGACAAGATCGCGTGCGCGCAATTTATTTCCGCTCTCCACGACGGTTTCTTGAGGAGGACCCTCCAATTGGACGGAATAACCTCTTTAAATTTGGCCATTGAGAGAGCGAAAATCGTGAAAACGATACAAGGGGAAAATTTTGAAAGAAGGAGGGAAAGCGCGAGTTTTCAGAGGGCGGAGAGGAACGGCGCGCGGGGGGATTTTGAAAAGAAAGCCGGGAGCAGCGAAAAGAACAACGCACGAACGGAGCATGGAAAGAGAGTTCCTTTGAAAGAGGAAAGGCGGGGGAATAATTTTTCCGCGAAAAGTAGGGGATGCTGGACGTGCGGGAAGACGGGGCATTTCCGGGCAGAATGCCCTGTAGAGAAGGGAAACGCGGTTTAGTTGAGCTTCGCGGGGGTAGCTCAACTTTCTCCCAAAAGGCCCCGATAGCGAATTATTTTATTGATTTTGATGTTGCTAAGATTGGTCAAAATAATTTTTGTTACAATAGCAGAATAAATGGTAAAGATTGTTCTTTAAAAGTAGACACGGGCTCCGATGTTTCTATACTAAAAAAAGAATTGGTAGACAAGGATATTAAAAAGGTTAGAGTTGAAAATTGCAATTTGAGATATCCGACAGGAGAAAAAGTTTCCGTTGAATTTCAAGTTGAAGTAAAGGTGGAGATTGGAAGACATTCAATTTTGTGTCCTATGTTTGTTGCTGCTACAAGCGATGATTGTATTTTAGGGATAGATTTTCTTAAGAAAATTAATTTGCAAAATATTTTTGATTTCGAATTCAACGAATTTAAGTCCAAAGAAAATAAAACTTTTAATTGTTCTCGAATCGAAAATTCTTATAAAATTCCACCTATTTTGGAAAATCTTTTTGAAAATAGTTCTTTGAATCTGAAGGGTGTGGAAAAGGAAATTTTTGCTAACTTTTTAAATGATTTCTCCGATGTGTTTTCTGAAAATATTACGGCTGGCAATTGTAGTGTTTTAAAGCATGCCATTAACTTAAAAGACTCTCTCCCCATAAAACAGGCACCTCGTCGAATTCCTATTCATTTAAGGAAGGAAGTGGATAAAATTATTGAGGATATGAAGGAACAAGGAGTCATAGAGGAGTCACAAAGTCCATGGATTTCTCCAGCCGTTATGGTAAAAAAGAAGGACGGCGGTATAAGATTTTGCGTCGACTATCGGAAGTTAAACGATGTGACGGTAAAGGATTCATACCCTCTTCCTAGAATTGACGATATTTTAGACCAACTCTCAGGTAACTCTTGGTTTTCCTCATTAGATTTAAAGAGCGGTTATTGGCAACTTAAAATCCGTCCCGAGGACAGGGAAAAAACGGTCTTCTCTATCGGCAGAGGTCTTTGGCAATTTACCGTAATGCCGTTTGGTCTATGTAATGCTCCCGCGACTTTTGAACGATTAATAGAAAAGGTTTTACACGGTCTCTTATCGGAAAAATGTTTAGTATATCTGGATGACATAATTATTTTCGGAAAAACTTTCGATGAAATGTTGGAGAATTTAAATTTGGTATTCTCGCGATTGAAGGAAGCTAATTTAAAAATGAATCCTGAAAAATGTGTTTTCTTTCAAAGAAATATAAAATATTTGGGACATATTATTTCGGAAGAAGGCGTCACTACGGATCCCGAAAAGATTATTGCCGTGAGAGATTGGCCGATCCCCCACACAAAAAAACAGTTACGAAGTTTTCTCGGTTTTTGTTCTTACTATCGTAAATTCGTGAAGGGGTTCTCTTCTTTGGCGAAGCCCCTTTACGTATTAACAGAAAATCTAGTTAAATTCGTTTGGGGAAAGGAATGCCAGGATGCTTTTGAATTATTAAAAACGATGTTATCAACTTCTCCGATATTAGCTTTTCCAAAAGGGAAGGATGAGTTCATTCTAGATACTGACGCGTCCAACATCGGAATCGGTGCAGTGTTATCCCAAAGGCAAAAGGGAGAAGAGAAAGTGATTGGGTATTTTAGTAAAGTACTTAGCAAGACTGAACGAAATTATTGTGTGACTAGAAGAGAATTGTTAGCGATTATGGATTCTTTAAAATTTTTTCGTCACTATCTTTTAGGAAGGAAATTTATAATTCGTACGGATCATATATCGTTAAAATGGCTCATGTCTTTTAAAAATTTAGAAGGACAATTGGCTCGATGGCTCGAAAGGCTTCAGGAATTTGAGTTCGAAGTTGTTTACCGAAAGGGACAATCTCACGGAAATGCCGACGGACTTTCAAGGCGATTATGTGAGACTTTAGGATGCGGATACTGCACCAAAATTGAAAAGAAAAGTGCAGAGGGAATAGAGGAAATGGTCGCTCGTATTGCGCTTGCGAAAGAAAATCTTGAAGAATGGCGTCTGGCACAGCGAACAGATCCAAGCATATCTTTCATTTTGCAGGGTAAAGAAACAGGAAGAAGACCATTGCACTCGGAAGTTCCTGCTAAAGATATTTCAGCTCAAATTTATTGGCTTTACTGGGATTCTCTCATTCTAAAAAATGGAATTCTCTATAAAAAATGGGAAGCCCCAAATCTTCGAACGAGTTTCCTTCAATTGGTAGTTCCACGAGATCGGATCAAGGAAGTTTTACAGGAAATGCATGATTCCCCATCCGGAGGACATTTTGGAGTCAACAAGACCTTAGAGAAAATCCGAAAAAGATTCTATTGGGCCAAATGTAAACAGGACGTTGAGAAATGGTGCAGAACATGCAAGATCTGCGTGTCCAGGAAAGGTCCATTTGAAAAGGGGAAATCCCCGTTACAAATTTACAACGTTGAAGCTCCTTTGGAAAGGGTACAAATGGATATCCTTGGGCCTCTTCCTTTAACTAAATTAGGGAATAAGTATCTTCTTGTAATGGTAGATTGTTTTACAAAATGGGTAGAAGCCTTCCCTGTCAAAAATATTAGAGCTAAAACAGTGGCTGAAGTTTTTGTGAATCAGTTTGTCTCAAGACATGGAGTGCCTCTTGAAGTTCACACAGATCAGGGGAGGAATTTCGAGTCACAGTTATTTGGAGAATTGATGCGACTTCTTGGAATTAAAAAGACAAGGACTACTGCTCTTCATCCTCAATCGGACGGCCAGGTGGAACGTCAACACCAGACGATTCTCAATTACTTGGCGAAATACATTTCCGAGAATCAGAAAAATTGGGATGAATGGATTCCTATGTTCCTCTTAGCGTATAGATCATCGAAGCATGAGACCACTGGAGTGACTCCTGCCGAATTATACTTTGCTCGAGAGCTTAGGCTGCCAGTGGACTTGTTTCGAGGAACTCCTAAATTTGATGAAGAAAGGTTGCCTCCGGAAAATTTTGTGGAAAGTTTGAAAGAAAAATTAGAGGAAATTCATTCTTGTGTTAGGGAACGCATGGTCTTGAAGTCTTCGCGAATGAAAGTAAGATATGATCAAAAGGTTAGAACTGTTCTTTTTCAGGAGGGAGAGAGAGTCTGGTTATATAATCCTAAGAGAAGTAAGAGGAGGGCTCAGAAATTGCAAAGCAATTGGGAAGGTCCTTATTTAATTATTAAAAAACTTAACGACGTAGTTTACTGCATCCAAAAGACTCCTAGACATAGGAAAAAAGTTGTACATGCGGATAGGATAGCTCTTTTTCTAGAAAGAGACTAGAATAGTTAGTAGATTGGAGCCCGGAAATGTCTATCAGTTAGGAAATTTGAAGGAGGTGAGGGGGGTTTCTACGAAATAGGAATAAAAGGTAGTTGCTGCGTAATCTTTGTTTTCTTTTTCAGGACCTTTGATTTGAAGAAGGTTCCGCTTAGGAGAGAGAATTTCTTATCGTCGTCATCTGATTCTTCGTTTTTTTTTTTGAAGACCGCCTTACCCACGGTTTTTGATCCGTGGTTTTCCCGTGTGGTCTTGGGGCAAATGCCGAGGCGGGGATTTGGGGAGTTCTTAAGGAACGGAGGGTCCACGGAAGTTACCCCCCCCCTTATCCGAAAAGCTCCCAGGGAAACCAGGATGTAGCAGAACGAACATCGAAGGTCGATTGGGTTCGAAACGGCGGATCGCTCGGTAACCTGAGGCAACAGCCCGGGGTAGGGCAGGATGGTTCGTCGGAGCCCTGGAGTCGACATTTGGCTGTTAGTCGATTGGGACCAGAATGACGAAGTTGCTCGGTAACCTGTGACAGCAGTCTAGGGAGAGCAAGGAGACTCGTCGGTACCCTGGAGTCGACGTGTGCGGATGTACATTTGGATCCAAAATAGCGGAGTCCTAGAGTCGACATCAAGGCACAGTTTTAGGACAGCGTTGGATGTTCCCCCCCCCCTATTTCTGATTGTCGGGACGACAACCTTGAAGGGGAGGAGGGGGGTAGTGTTACGTCCCCGTGTTCCTTCCCTGCGGGTTAATAATTGGTCACCCGTGATGTTCGGAGGAAGATCGTTTTCTGTCTCGTCGTCAAGAAGAATGTTTATAAACGGCGACCGTCAGCTGAGTTCCGAGCCAGCTGTCTAGCTGAGCGGACGCGCTTTCTGTATCGCGCCGCGACTTTTTGTAATTGTACGAATACGTTGTTCTGTGTTGTGTTGTGCTCAGTAAAGTTCCTTGTTCGCTATTAAAAGAGTGTTCGTTTATTTCGCGCGACTCGCGAGCGGCCGTTCTCTCCGCGCGCGTCTTCGATAATAGTCGAAGTCCTCGCCGCGGGCGTAACAATATTATTTAAATTATCTGTGTCTTTCTGTAGGTTGATTAAATTATTATTAAATTTTTTGATGAAAAACATCTCAGCAATTTCTCTCTTTCGAACATATTTTTCGTTATGCAGAATATTAGGTTTCGACCAGTCAAAATCATATTTAGATTCTGATCTATGTTTGCTAATAACCGAATGATTAGATTCATGTAACTTTATATTGTTGCAATGTTCTTTTAATCGCGTACGTAAATGTCTTTTTGTTTGCCCGATGCATGATAAATTGCAATCTTTACAATTTAATTTATATACAACATCTGTCTTATCGTTATTCTGTAAATTATTATTACCAAGTCTAATTAAATTATTTAGTTTTTTAGTTATTTTGTAGACGACGTTAAAACCGCTATTTTTCAGAAGGCGATACAAATCATGACTCGAATTCTCCACATATGGTATTGAAATAAATTGAGTCTTGTCAGAACCAGCAAGATTCACGTTAACTGTATCATTAAGATCACGATTATTTAAAAAATTAACTCTTTTTTGAATGTGTCTGTGTATTATATGTTCAGAAAAACAATTACTGATTAAAATGTCAAATACTAATTTGATATTTTCTTGCCAGAAGCAGTCGTTAGATAATAGAATAGCATGGTCAACTAAATTATATATAGTGTTGATTTTATATTTTAACGGGTGGTTAGAATGATAATTAATGTACCTCCCTGACCATGTCGGTTTCCTAAACCAGTTAGTAATCAGAGTATTCCCGGACCGAATAACTTTGACATTCAAAAAACTAATCGATGAATCAGCTTCAATTTCATATGTAAATTTCAAGCGTTTGTGATAGTTATTAAAGCTTCTTAAAATTTCGTTAATTCTTTCATGTGGTACTATTGCAAAAACATCGTCTACAAATCTATAATACGTAGGTACCGTAAAACTTAATGAGTCTAAGCAATGTGTCTCCAAGTCGTCCATCACCATATCAGCCAGGATAGGTGACAATGGAGAACCCATAGGACTGCCGAAGATCTGTTCATAAAAACGTCCGTTAAATAAAAAGCAGGTTGAATCTAAAATCGTCTGTACAGCAAACAAAAATTGCAATAAGTTAAATTTCGTATTTTTCGAAATGTCATCCCAACGCCTTCTTATGGCGTTAATAACTAGCTCCTTGGGAACATTTGTAAATAGAGACGTTACATCCAGAGAAACCATGACATTCTCTTCATTGATAACCGTGTTCTTTATATTATCAGCGAAGGACCAACCATCTTTGACGTAAGAATTTGGTTTCTTTATTGATTTATATAAGATGTTGTGGATGTATCTCGAGATGTTATATACCGGGCTTCCCAGAGCTGATACAATAACTCTCAACGGAAAACCGTCCTTATGGATCTTCGACAGACCATAACAACGCGGTAAATTACCGTTCGTGCAATTTAAATGCTTATAAGTCATTTCAGTTATCAAATTATTAGTGAACCAAGATTTGACTAACCCATTGATTCCATGACTAACCCATTGACCCATTGATTGTTAGTTAATTTGTTCAAAGGGTCCCTTTTCAATTCTTTGTAAGTGATTTGGTCCCCCAGCAGCATGTCCATATTGTTAAAATAATCTTTTTTATCCATAGCCACGGTAATCTGACCCTTGTCAGCTCTCGTGACCATAATATCGTTATTCTCGCGTAAAAATCTCTTAGAAGCATTAAAGGAGTTAAGGATGTATCTCTCACCATAATTAATATGTGTTTTGGTGGAGAGGAACCTTTGGAGAATGTTTGCCACGGAAATCCTGGTTGTTTCAATGGAATCCGTGGGTAAAATATTGCTCTTTTCTTCAAAATTTTTGACGACATCCAGAACGTAATTGGTACGATCATTATTGTGATCCTGTACAATAGGCAATGCAAAACTGTCACCGAGGCTCAACAAATCAGAGACCGTGTCCGGTATGTTTTTGCTGCTTAGGTTCACAAACCACTTAGACTTATCAATGTTTGAAAAAGGCTGGCTACAAGTGTTGTATTTTAATTTCAAATTATTGAACTTCTTGATCAAGTTGTTTTTTACACTGAAATCAAAGGATGTGAGTCTCTGTTTATTAAGTACAAAAAATTCTTTCACCAAATCATGCGGTAACCATTGAAAGAGACATTTTTCAATGTTTTCAACTTTGCTTTGTAGATAATTCAAATTTATGTTTTGATCTTCAATCTCGAAGTTCAATAATTTATACTGATTTGCTTTTTTAAAATTATCGAACTTGCGTTTAACACAATTGCTACGAAACACGACGTCAATTTTTATATTAGTGATGTGTGTAGGAATCAAATCGTATCTTCGGCAACGAATCAGAAAAGTCAATTGTTGTTTCAAAATGTGGATCTTCTTTTTGCATTTAATCCATGATTTTAACAGTGTGGTGCAGTTGTCATCAAATCGTTGAGAAACGTGTTGGAAAAAGTTTTCGGTGCGATTTAACTCCATAATTAGATCCAGGAGCGAATTAAAATTAATAAATATCTTAATATCGCTAGTCAAATAATCAAAGGATTTTTTTTTTTTAAATGTGATTTGTGCAATTTATAAGAGCATCGTCTATGCCGGTCTCTTGATTTATGGCTTCGGTATACTAACATTGTTACATTTTAATTCGTTGAGCGTGTTATATATTGAAACTGTCAATTAATTTATCAATTTATAATCTTTGCAGTATGTACTTGATAAGAACCACAATCATATGGTCGAAACGTCGTAATAATAAACTAAATTTCTGGCTAGTTTGGTCGACTACATTTTTTCAATAATCCTTTGATTATTCGACTAACGATACTAAGATATTTATTAAAATTTTATAAATAAAAATTTTTTAAATAAACTATAATGTTATTCGTTCTTTCCAGATAATATGTGATCATGAACTGAAATTTACTCACGTATATGTAGGACAAGTGGGATCAGTACACGATATGAGAATTTTTAGACTTTCTGGTTTTGAAAACATGTGTACTGACGTAAATTTTCCCGAAAACAGTCACATATTAAGCGATGCTGCATACAGCATTCAGAAACATATAATGGTGCCATTTAAGGACAATGGACATTTGACGCAAGCACAAATAACGTATAGTACCCACTTATCTCAAGCAAGGATGATGATAGAGCGATCAATTGGTTTGCTGAAAAGACGGTTCCGAAGTCTATTAGATAAACTGCCAATGCAAAGAACCGATTTAATACCAAAATATGTGTGCGCATGTTGTATTTTACGTAATATATGTTTAATGCGCAATGATCAGATAGACATTCCAATTATTGTGTACACAAATGAACCTACACAACATGAAATAGGAAACGCATCTGAAATATTGCGAGAAGAAGGCATTAACAAACGGAATGCCATAGTATATCATCTACAAAATAATGAATTGTAACGTTATTATACGTGAATATATCGCAAATTATTTTATAATTATAAAATTGAAATTATAAAAAAAAATAAAGTAAATAAATAAAAGAAATAATTATAATATTTATATTTATAAATGATTTTTATAATAAAAAATTTTCTATTATATAAAAATATGTATTTATTTATCATGTATGAAATACAACATTAATAAAATGTTTTACATATGAAAACAGCACAGTCTTAGTATTATTTTAATTCCAAAAACAAAATAAAATCACAGTCTGTGTAGAAACAGTACATATACTTCTAAATAAAAAAATAAATATTATACTTCTCTAATATATCTACTATATAGTATAAACTATAATACTTTATAATAACATTTAAAAATACGATATAATTATTTGTTGTTTCTAATACTCTCTGTTAAAACTTCTTCGATCTTAGCTAATCTAGTCATTTTTTCTTCATGACATTTTTGTGTGTTATTTTCTTTACTCTTTTGAATTTTTAATGATTGCTCAAGATAATCTTCTAAGATTTTATCCAATTTTCATTTTTTTGATACTACAAATAAAAAAAATAATCAGAAATTAATACAATCAACTTAATGATATTTTTAAATCAATCAAAAATATAAATAAAAGGCTTAAAGGACCAAAGTAGATGTAGTAGGCCGGTTCTAACCCAGGTCCTCTGAGGGAGGTGAGGTGCGAGGGGATCTCAGCGGAGCGGGGGTATGACGTCAAGCGGGGGTTGGGGGGGGGTCACGTTAATGACAAGCATAAACAAAAGAGCGGTATTCTTTTGAAAAGGATTAGGCCTAATCCTTTTTTGGGTCTAATCCTTTTTTGGGTCTAATCCTTTTTATTGTTCTTTTATTTTATTGTATTTTATTATATTTTGAAAAAGATTTTGGGGACCTAATCTTTTTTATTGTTCTTTTATTTTATTTTATTGTATTTTATTATATTTTGAAAAAAGATTTTGGGGACCTAATCTTTTTTATTGTTCTTTTATTTTATTTTTATTGTATTTTATTATATATTTTTATATATATTTTATATATATTTATATATATTTTTATATATATTTTTATATATATTGTATTTTATTATATATTTTGAAAAAGATTTTGCGGACCTAATCCTTTTTATTGTTCTTTTATTTTATTGTATTTTATTTTATTTTTTAAGGAAAAATTTTATTTTTTAAGGAAAAATTTTAATAGCGCTAATGATCGGCTGCTTTGTCTGGGGATTACTCGATTAGACACAATACAATTGGACACAATTGGCTTTGATTGACTAATCGGAGGTGTCTCCCTCGTTTACATATCAGCGCCGATGTTCGGCTGCTTTGTACTCTCGAGGTACACCCGTAATAGATAATTCCAGGTTTTTTTTCCCGTTCGACGTATAAACAATAGAGATTAAGCGGACAAGCTTTCAGAGATTATCGGGGGACACAAAGAAAATTTTTTCTTGCAAATGGGATACTATAGAAAACCTTTTATACTCTTTTTTTTTTTTTTACTCTTATACATATTTTTATGACTTTATTTCATAAACTTACATTTTTGAGATATTTCAGTCCAACCTTTTCAAGCAATCTGTGTAATACAATAGCGCATTTTTTCTACGATCCTAGGTACATTTGCAAGAAAATTTTCTTTCGTGTCAACCCCCAACAGTCTCTGAAAGCTTGTTGGTCGAATATAAGAAGGATCGAAGCGCAGCAGATCATAGTACATCATTTGAAAACGCATCGACACGTCGGTAGCAAAAAATAGTGTTCTCTCGGAAAGTGTTTTGTCAGAAAAAAGATAGTGTTCTGTTAGTCTTCTGTGATATATATATATTGTGTGATAATACATAAAATGGAAAACATCGAGCAGACTGAAGGCGATCTGATAGAGCGATCTCGCCAAATTACCACCTTGGGCGAGTATTTTGCATGGCTGCAGCGTTGCGAAGAATTGATCAAAGAGCTCGAAGAACGCAGTCGTGTTAAGCGTCCGCGACTCTCGATCGGAAAGAGACAATCTCTGGCAGCCAAAATCGCGCAGCTCGAAGGTGCAAAAACTCGATTGCAGAGAAGATTTATTCCCAGTGGTGGTGAATACAGCGATGACAATAACGCGGAGAGACTCGTTTGGCGAGAGATCGATACCGCGTTCGAGAGTCGCGTATCGACTGGTGCGGTGATAAATTATAATCACATCGAACCGCGCCAATTTCTCAAGGATGCCGAAGACATTGTGATAGAACATGTGCAGGACGCTTTAGAAAAACACAGCAGTATAAAAGTGAACACAATATTCAATGGTGAATTTGTGGCCGGAGATAAACATGCGAATAAAAGTGTAAATACAAGAAACCATGAACTCTTTCGCACGTCCAATTTACGCGAGTGGTACGAACAGCGCGTTATCGAGTCCACCCTAGCATCTCTGGAAGAATTTCAGGAACGCGATAGCGGGTGGGCTTTGTCGCGAATACTGAACTTGACTGTAAATATTAACAAGTTCAATCCCATGCACGCGGGATGTCACATCAAGTTACCGCGGGATATTATGATGAAGAGAGCGGTGATTAACGTGCAATCAAAGGACAATGCATGTTTCGCGTGGGCAGTGGTCGCCGCTCTGTATCCCGCCGAAAGTCACGCGGAACGGGAATCATCGTACCCGCATTACGCGACAGTGTTGAATCTCCGGGACATTGAGTTTCCAGCGACTATGAATCAGATTAAGAAATTTGAACATGCAAATAACATTTCAATCAACGTGTACAGCATCGAGAAAGAGAACAACATTGCTCCGATACATCTTTCACAGCAGAAACGGGACAAGCATGTGAATCTGCTATACGTGGAAGATGGTAACAACAACGTGGGACATTTCGCGTGGATCAAGAATCTATCCCGACTAGTGAGCTCGCAACTCAGCAAAAAAGATCACAAGAAATATATCTGCGATCGGTTAGTTTATTTTATATTATTTGAATAATTATTATTTGTATAATTATAATATGAATTGTTAAAATCTTAATTAAATTTTTTTCCTTTACAGATGTCTACATTATTTTGGTTCGGACGACAAGTTGCAGTTGCATACGGTCGACTGCGGAAAGCTAAACGACTGCGCTGTCCGATTGCCGAGCGACAAGGACAAGTGGCTCGAGTTCAGCAACCCTAATCGGAAGGAGCGGCTTCCATTCATTGTGTACGCCGACTTGGAATGCGTCCTGGCCAAGAAGGAAGAAGAGAAATTATATCAACATCATCATCAAGTATTTAGCATAGCTTACTATGTACATTGCTCGTTCGACAAATCTTTATCGGCGTATCATTCGCATCGTAGCGCCGATTGTATAGCATGGTTCGTTAAAGATCTTAAAAATTTGGCATTACGCGTAAAAAATATTTTAAAAACAAATGTCCCCATGGTAGATTTAACGTTCGAAGAACAGAAAGAATTTTATCACGTTACTCAATGTCACATATGCAAAAAACCGTTCGCGCAAGACGATACACGCGTTCGCGATCATTGCCATCTGACCGGGCGGTACAGAGGTCCTGCACATTCAAATTGTAATCTAAATTATAAAGATTCTTTTTGCATTCCGATAGTTTTTCACAATTTATCCGGTTACGATTCTCATTTTATTATCGAGGAAATAGCCACAGCGTTCGAAGGGAAAATCGAGTTATTGCCGATAACTAAGGAAAAATATATTTCATTTACTAAAAGTGTTGATTTTAAAGAAGAATCAAAAAATCAAATAAAATTACGTTTCATCGATTCATACAAATTTCTCACATCGAGTCTCGATAAATTGGCATCATTTTTGGACAAAGATAAACTCAAAATTTTAAAATCGGAATTTCAAAATTTATCTGCCGAAAATTTCAATTTGTTAACGCGAAAAGGTGTATTTCCATACGAATACATCGATTCCATTGACAGGTTGCACGATACGTGTTTACCACCGCGCGAATCGTTTTACAGTTCTTTGACCGGTGAAACTGTATCCGAGAGCGATTACGCGCACGCCGAGAACGTCTGGACGCG